AAAAAAAAAAAAAAAATAGAAAAAAAAAAAATCCAAGCAGAATTGGTCATTTCTGGACATAATTGTTTTTAGTTGTTGGACTCATGGCGACCCCATGTGTTGCAGGGTAGAACTGCTCCATAGGGTTTTCAAGGCTGTGAACTTTCAGAAACAGATCACCAGGCCTATCTTCTGAGGCACCCCTGGGTGAGTTCGAACCACCAACCTCTGGGCTAGTAGTCAAGTGCTTATCTGTTTGCATCACTGCAAGACTCCTCTGGACATAACATTACCCTTGAAATTTGATGCATTTCTTCCAAAATATTTAAAGAACTTCGTGTGTTACTAACAAAATTACCTTCTGTGTACGTAAAGGATCAGCCTGGAAGAAAAAAATGACATTTAAAAATTATGTGGTCAAAATGTCACTTAGGCCAAAAACAAAAATAACCAAAACACAGTTTCCGAGAATGCTTATTCAAATTAGAGACTGGCTGTGATTCATAGTGAAAAATTCTGTTTTCCTCAGCTAGTACACTCAATTGTGGTTTAAAGGACCTCTTTTGTCATAAATAAAGCCTGCTTTATTTCACCTAGAGCTCTGGTGGTGTAGTGGTTAAGAGCTTGGCTGCTAACCAAAAAGGTCCGCAGTTTGAATCCACCAGCAGCTCCTTGGAAACCCTATGGGGCAGTTCTACTCTGTCCTATAGGGTCGCTGAGTCGGAATCGACTTGACAGCAATGGGTTTGGTTTTTTGGTTTATTTCACCTGATCTGACAAGATGTCAGAACATATTTGTGGTGTGGTAGGTGCTTATCAGGCCTGGGAAATGAAAATTAAGTCAAGGAAAATGAAAAAATAAGTTTTACTACACAGAAGATATTGAAGCCCTGGTGGCATAGTGTTTAAGAGTTTGGCTGCTAACCAAAAGGTCGACAGTTTCAATCCACCAGCCGCTCCTTGGAAACCTATGGGCAGTTCTAGTCTGTCCTATAGGGCCGCTATGAGTCAGAATTGATTTGATGGCAGTGGGTTTTTTACACAGAAGATAGTTTTATTATTAGAGAAAATATTTTAACATGTCAACTGGTGATAAGCTATTAGACTACTTATGCAGTATTTTGGGTTTTCAAAACAGAATTATGGTTAACAGTACACTATCATTGTAAATTTCATAACATTTTCAGGAAGTCATTTAAATGACTAAGGGAAAACTAGTTAACAATGGAAATCATTAGCTTTTTAAAGACTCTGAATATTGAGTTTTTATGATAAATGACTTACGATATTTGCTGAAGTATTATGGCACCTCCCTACCAAAAAAGAAAAAACCAAATCCATTGCCATCAAGTTGATTCCGACCTTTTGGTTAGCAGCTGTAGCTCTTAACCACTGTGCCACCATGGCTCCATAGCACCTCCCTAGACATCTGAAAATCAGAATGCCCGTAGATGAGGCCTAAAACTGACGTTTTAAACATGCTCTCCAGATGACTCTCATGCACATTAATTTCCTAACTAGAGGATAACTTTGACTCTGGTGAGTTTCTGGTGCTATTTCAATCCAAATTGAGCCTTTTAAACATCAAACTTAATGATCAAATTTCTTTTTAAGAAATAGGAGTATTGCAAAATCTAATGCATGTGATCACTACTGTAGCAGGAAACAGGAGATGGCACACTAATGCCACCTGTAATTCGAGGCTACACATTTACCTCAAAACATCAAAAATTTTGTTCCTTTCTTTGAATGTAAAACTAAGATAAATATACAAATCTGAATATACACATACAAATGATTTACTATTAAGTTTTATGTTCCTGTTCCTAATGTTAAAAAACAACAGCCAGGTAAGCTGAATACAGTCGCCCTTTAGCCAGCCTTTGTTGGTTAAATTTCTTTCAAAAGATAGAGCGGTAATTTAAAGTGAACTTATCCACGACTCACAGAACAGCACACCTAAGGCTGGTTCAGTGCTTTATACACTTTCTAGCCCTTGATGATATCATATTCCCCAATTTCAGAACAAGAAAAAGATATCAACATCTTAAAGAGTTGAAAAAAGGCCTAAAAGTCACCAAATCCAACTTTTCACTCAAAAAGGCAAGCTTGTAAAGAGCAATTCTGACAGTCATCCAGTTTGTGCTTGAACATTTTTATTGATATGGTCCTTATTTTACGAAGCAGCTAATGCTGCGGCACAGCACCTTAATATACAACCATAATCTGCTCACTTAACTTCCACCTGCTGGTTTGAGACTTGCCCTCCTCCTAATTTAAGTCCTTCCAATATTTGAAGACAGCTGTCATGTCTCCACCCCACCTGCCTTTTTTAAAATAATATTTTGTTTGTTTTTGATGAACTTAACTGTCTTTTAGTTGTCTCTTTTCCAAGCACTCATCAGTTCTAAGATACACATTTTTTCCACACATCTTTGAAATTTGGATGCATTTTACAATTGATGGCTTGTCATAGTTTAATTGGGCTACTTTTTCTTCTTAGTGGTGCGTGAAATAATGGTGTGCCTTTCAACTGTTGGCAATTAGATTTGCTGAAATACAGCAATCATTCCATTCCCCTCAGCACTTTTTCAAAGAACCACAGAAACATTCAAGATCATCCAGTTCAACTCCTTACCTTATACACACAACATTGTTTAGTCGGTCTGTCCTTGATTATGTTCTATGAGCTTGACTCTAACATCTTACAGAGCAACTCATTTCAAAATTGGAAACTAATTTCTTCAGTTAATTTTTTATATTTCACTGAAATCCTTCTCTTACTGGTCCTAGTTCTCTTCAGTCACACAAATGAGCTTGACTTGCCTTTCATTGACAGCTCTTAATTTGAAGAAAGACAAGTTTCCAAAGTTTATTCTCTAGTGCCATTACTTCCTTTTTGTCTAACATTTTAAATTTGCAAACTGTAAAATGGGCATACTAAAATCTACCTCATAATGCTATTCAAAAGACGGGATACAACAATGTATGTACAACCGTCTATTGCTTTGCAGCTGGAAAGCATGCCTTCTATTTTCCCAGTCAAGGAAGCTTTTAAAAGACAGCATCCAAACTGGACCTCAACTTTCAAATGGCTGGCATGACCACTTCAAGTGTAGCTGGCACCTTACCTTGTTCTGAGCACTTAATGTAGCCTAAGATTACATTAGTACTTTTGGCAGCAGAATCACAATTCACATTGACCTACATATTAACCACTCTTTAGCCATGTCATATTCTGCCATCCTTTATTCTTTTATAGTTTTAGCAACCAAAGAGCAAACACCAAATAATTATCCTGATTCAATGTATCCTATGTGATTCAACTCAATATACCAAACTACTAGGTTCAATTTAGATCCCAATTTTTACTTTCAATTGTTTGCTTTATCGCCCAGCTTTGTCATGTATGCATGGTATGATCTAATTAACTGGTAATGCCAGTGGCAAAAAGAGCCTCGCCTCAAGATGTCATTAGAACCCAGCTTTTAAAAAGTAAAGACACCGAGATATGTCTTATTCTCTAAAGACTGTCTTAATGGAACCTAGTTAGTGGGTATATTTCTAGGTCTTCTTTATTAACTGCATAGACAAACCATGGTTAAGAGAGCACTCAGTACCGGTATCTTCTGTTTACACACATGCATATTCAGGTTTTCAGCAACTTTTCACAAAATTGATGTTACTAAGCATATCTAAGTTAAATGAACTATGAGATTCCTCCTTCGCAGCCATGCTCAGATACCATATATTTTATGAGCAATGGATATAACAGAATGGAAGATCTATGGTTTGTGAATGAAAGGGAGGCAAGGAGATTCAGATGAGGAATCTGCTAGAAATGGGAGAGTGGGAAAAAGCTGAAATTTTTGCAACTTAATTGAAAACAAAACAAATTATTGTGAAAATGAAATTACAGCAAAAGATTGTAATTATTTCAAAGCCCAAAGCTTTAATATGTACATTTTATTTTCAAATTGAATTGTCAACTTATACCATTCAATCAACAAGTATTCATCAAGCACCTACGGTGTCCCAATTTCAGTGGCAAAAAGGAAAAGACCATTTAAGTGGCTGGCTTTATATGTACTGTAAAAATTCAAATAAACCTTCAGTTCTTAATTAGAATTTTTTATATCTAAGGAAAACTATTTATGCAATGAAAAATCCTGGAAAATGGAGTTTTATTATAGAAATTATAGTACCACAACAAGAAACATAAATACTTACAACTAAGTTGCTTAAAGGACTTCCCGCTGCAACTAAATAGCTTTTGTTTTCAGAAGGCCAATTGTGGTTGTGGTTTAATCTCAAAAATTTAACACAGTGTACACATCCATGTCACTAATTACATGGGGAAAAAATTAACTAAATTAAATCTAAGGAAGAAAATGTGAAATTAGTTTATGTCAACTTCTGAACATGTTTAACCCCAAATCATAAAACTAAGGAATGTAACAATGTGTTATATTAAAGAGTTTAATGTAGTATTTTTAAAAGGTTTCAAACAGAATTTTTAAACTTGGAGTTGAAGTCAAGACATGGTACCTTCGGATCTTAACAAGTTATAAAAAACTGGTTTCCTTGTTTTGATGGCCCAGGGTAAGAAAAAACTCAGAAAACTGGGAAATAGTGCACTTACAACTCTACATATGGCAGTTAAAAAAGAACAAATTAGAGCCAAGGCAACAAAGCACTTGATAAGGGCTATCTATATTGTTTTTCTGAGTCATCCATACAGTACCAATCATGATCTGCTTTAGCTGAGACTTTGTCTAGATCCTTTGTTATGTTTGTACTCATAAGAATAAAGATTCCTTCCTGTTGTCTTTTTCTTCCCACCCTTCTCATGGTTTTGTAGGAAAAGTTATGCTTTACAAATTGAATTATTATGAAAACATGTAATCTTTACTTTTTTTAAGATATCAATTTCTAGGATTTTATTCTGGTTTATGTTAAAAATGGTGTAGTTTTTCTGTGAAGACTTTTTTTTGTACAATAGTTAAAACTATAATTACATAAGTGCCATCTTTCCTACTAAGGAAATGCTTTGGTTTAAATTCTGAAAGATAAAAAAATGTTGATATTTTTATGTCAGTTTTTCATATCTTAAAATACATAGAAAAAGTTAAATTTTAAGTCACTTTATATTCCTGATACATAAACACAGCAATGTCATAAACGTTTCATTTTCAAACATGATTTGGTAAATGTCAACCAACTTTCACTCTACATAGAAATATAAAATGAAAATTTAAATAATCAAAACTCACAGCCTCTTTTTCTTCACTCTCTCTCTAGTTCTGCTTTGGTATCTTCAGCCTTCAGGCATTTTAAAATACATTATTTGTCTTTAGATGGAAAAGAATCCATAACTCACACATATCCATGCCAGCAAACTGAAGGGAAATTCTGTCCCACTCCCTTTTTTTGACTTACCTTAAATTTGCACATTACCTCTTAAAGATATATCCCAAAGGTCTATCAAGAAATTTCGCATAAAAGAAAGTATTCTGATTGGGTCCCAAGAGTGTTCGGGGCATTTTATTTCTAGTGCTGCCATAATCCATTTAAAAACAGTTTTCTGTTTTGAACTTGGCTAATACTGAGAATGTCTAAGTTTTTAACCTACAAATGAAATGGCATATGGCTCCATTACATTACTTGGCAAAAGTTGGGAAAAAAAAAAAAAGGATTTCATTTTAAATTGCTTAGTCACCATTCAGTTTGATATTTGTAAAACTTCTTTTTTTCCCTTTATTTTTCATGTTGGAGAAATAATGTCACAATTTCAAATCAAAGTCAACACTGCAGTGAGGAGAGCTTTTCTACTTTATTACAAAGAGAAGAAGCCTTTATGTGGTCAGAAAATACAAGATTGATCTTTTTTTGTCTTCCTATGAAACGCTGCTGTTCAAACAGCCAGAGTGAATTGTCTCAGTTCACTTCTTTAAGTCCCATCACATTCACTTGGGTATGGATGTCCTTGGCTGCTGAAAATCTGGCCCTTTAATGCACAGGGCGACAAAGTCCCCTGACCAGCAGTTCCAGAATGTCCCATTTTTCATATATTGCATCCATGCACACCTCCTAAAAATGAGGTACAGCAGGGCAAACATTTTCCAAAATAGATGTCATATATATAATATATACACATTCGTACATACATACCTTTATTCATGTGATGTCCAAAAATTTAAAAAAAATGTACACATTTATTACAAAATTGTAACAAAGACTGGACAGTGTTTTGCTCATTCTGGAAAGATGAAGCTCAGTAATAACACAACCCTGGAAACCATCCAGAGATTGTGGCAATATCTTTCTTCTAAACAGTCAGATATTCTGCATTAAGCTTGGCGAAACTGCCTTTCAAAAACAGAAGGGGAAGTAAAATGAAGGGAGCAGACCTTGCTCATCTTTCCAAATGAAACACGAGAAGGATCTTCACATAAAAATGCACAAACATTTGTTATTTTATTACCAATAGTGCTACAATGAACAATGCAAATTTTGTGGTCTAATTTTGTTGAGTCTTTTGTGGGTTTTCTTTCTTACATTTTAGAAAGTAACTGGTAAACTTGTCAGTGTACTTGCGTGTCTTTACAGACCAAGTCTGTCTGCTGGCAAAAAGAAAATAAATGAAAAAATTCAGACCCTGCTCAAATTAGAGAAAAACAAATTAACAAATTTAGATGTTGGGCAGCACATAATTAGTAAGGCAGGACCTCAAAATGGTGACCCTTTGCATAAGCCAATTGCCAGATCCTCAACGAATTAAAACCAGGGTGCCTGAGCCACATCAGTTCTGCAGTTATGTTGAGTATTGTGCTGAGACAGCCATACCCCAAGAAAAGGGAAGTCTTTTTAGAAGGCTTGCTGAGCAGGGTTGTAGTTGAAGGTGGATGGCAGGTGAGGCCGTTCTTCTAATTTGTCATATTCCAGATGGAACTCCTACAAAAATAAAGAATTTAGGTGACTTCATTGTAACCTCTTCCTTTGATCTCAGATTTTTTGTCAAAATATGTTTTGCTGTGTGAACAAATAAAATACCTACGGACACAGATATACCAATTCTTCTTCCCTCTAAGTAAAATGCAGCTTGAAGAAATATAATGTGCTACAGTTTCTAAGTAAAAAAATAAACATAGACTTTCTGTTTAAAAGTCAGAGACTACCTATGAACACCTATTTTAAGACACCGAAATTCTATGCATTTCTTTGTTTAAAAATAAGTCTGGGGGGGGGCAGTTAGTAATTTCTAATAAAAAGTACTGAAAATTGTATGATATTTTAAAGTTAGGCCCCCTTCAATGAAATACAAAACCTAAAATTTTACTTTCTGTCCATTAAAAAAGCTTAGAAGTGAAGTGAATTTTCCAATTTGCAGTATCACACTTAATAAAAATAAATAAATAATCAAAACAAAAAACACATTTAGTTATTTTAACCCCATTAAAATCTGGGGAAAACAATAAACTTAACACTCACACATCTCCAAATTTGATACTTCACAAACCCAAAATCCTAACTTAAAGGTAATGCAACTGCTACCCAAAACTAAATGGTGGTTTTGCTGTAGGCACATTTGAAGACTCACTGTATAGCTTTTAATCAAATCTTCGAAATACTCCATTAACTTCATAAATTTTAAAATTTAAGAATGGTGAAACAATTTTTTTATATTGCCTCAAAGATCAAGAATAGAAAAATTACATAACTGTATATTAAACAAACACATCTTTTCAACTCCCAAGAGAAGGATTTTAAAATTACTACTTCTACAACCTGAATGTAATTAGCACAAACTATCACCGTACAATCCCATTTAAAGAACTATGAACCTTAATATCTATTTAAGGATCCCTCGTGGAGCAATGGTTAAGTGCTCGCCTGCTAACCGAAAAGGTAGGCAGTTTGAACCCATCAGCGGCTCTACAGAAGAAAAGACGTGGTGATCTGCTCCTGTAAAGATTTACAGCCTAGGCTGTAAATGGGGCAGTTCTACTCTGTCCTATTGGGCTGCTATGAGTCGGAATCAACTCTTAGGCATACAGCAACATTAGAAATTAAGCCAATGAGTAATTTTAGCATACTGGGTTAACATATTTTACCTTACCTGCCTGGTTTCAAACTGATTCCATAATAGATGTTTTAGTATTAAATTAAATGAAACACCTAGGCAATAATAAACTTTAAGATACAGAATAAAATCTTTAAAATTTAAGGATATTACATTAACAATGACAGAAATAGCAGATATAATTTATTGAAAGCCTACTAGAGACACATGTAATCTTATTCTAATCTTACATAATAACGCTGTTATGAAGTAGATAACATTATCCTCATTTTGCACCTGAGGAAAATGGAGCTCAGAAGAAACTTGCCCAAGTTACAAAGTGGCAGACCTAAGATTAGGATCCGGACCCTCATGATGCCAAAGTCTGTACCTTTTCTAGTATAACATTATTTTTAATAATTTTAGCTGATCCAAAAAAGAATTAGTACATTATACCCCTATCCAGAAATAATGTTGAAAAAATTCAGTCCCCTGACAAATGCTTATAAAGAAGGTAGACCATCATGACTTTAATCTAAAAAGGTTCACTTCATATGATAAAGAAACTAAGGCACGGAGAGAGAAATGTTATTTGCTTATCAGTAAAATCTAGCCAAAACCAGAATGACCACAACTGTCACATCCTCTCTATGCATTGCATAGCCACTACTCCCCCTCTCCCCATCCTTGTCCTGAAATTAAAAAGTTTATTGCATGGCTGAAGTTAAGTATCTAAATTAGTGAAGAAAATATATTACTATTTTTTGAAATTAAAATTCACATCTTAGTTATCACAAATATCTGTTGCTATGGGATAAAAGGAGCCCTGTTGGTACAGTGGTTAAGAGTTCAGCTGCTAACCAAAACGTCAGCAATTCGAATCCACCAGCCACTCCCTGGAAACCCTAGGGGGCAGTTCTAGTCTGTCCTATAGGGTCGCTATGACTTGGAATCGACTCGACGGCAACAGGGTTTGGATAGGATAAAAAGTCAATTTATAACTGTTAAAAACTTGTAAACTCCACTATCTCTAAGTTGTATAAACTAAAATTCTAAATGTATTATTTGAATTTAAATTAGATTAACTTAATCAATGCATCTCCCCACCACCTATTAAAAAGATCAATTTAAACTGAAGGAGCGTAAGTATTTTAATATAATCATTTTTAAAAAATCACACAGACCCTTGTATATCACAGATTCAGAAATTATCTAGGTCAAATTTTGTCTTCTATGTATTTTTATTCTTCTTAAAATACAACACGCTGGTATTTCTTTGTTTCCTAACTTTGATTACTGATTACATCTCTATTACCTGTTTATGTTATATGAATGCACACATAACACTCACCCCCTTCTATACTGTGTGGGGACGTTTGTCATTTTGTATACCATGCCTCCTGACTGGACTAGTGCAAGGCGCATGTTGTTGTTAGGTGCCACGGAGTCAATTCTACTCATAGTGACCCCATGTGATAGAGCAGAACCACCTCACAGGGTTTTCTAGGCTGTCATCTTTATGGAAAGGTGCTCTGGTGGCACAATGGTTAAGCGGTCAGCTGTTAAACAAAAGGTTGGTGCTTCAAACCCACCAGCAGCTCCATGGGAGAAAAGACCTGGCAATCTGCTCCCGTAAAGATTACAGCCTAGGAAACCCTGTGGGGCAATTCTACTCTGTCCTATAGGGTTGCTATGAGTCGCAATCAACCGGATGGCACACAACAACAATCTTTATGGAAGCCAATTTTCCAGGCTTTTCTCCTGCAGAGGGGCTGGGTGAATTTGAACCATCAACCATTCGGTTAGCAGCCAAGTGCTTAACCACTGTGCCACCAGGACTCCCTGTCAGGCCCCTAGCCAGTGTGTACTTAATGACTGATGAAGTAATGATAAACACAGTTTCTTCATTTGTTTTAGGAACATGACAATTTGTGAGCTAATATTCAATAATTATGTATTAGAAGGTCTATATGTATACTTACTTTTAATTTAAAAAAAAAAGACAAAGATTCTTATAGTTTAATGATTAAAAAGAATAGAGTTCTGATATCTTTCATTAAACAAGTTTTTAATGCCTTGGTTTTTCTATTAATAAAATTAAGATATGTCTTCTCAGCAGGTTACTGTGAGAAATGAAATATATACATTGGATTCAGATGATCAAATAAAATTATTACAAAAGCATTAATATATCGTCACTGAACTAATACAGACACAGAAACATACACTGCAGGAATGTTTTTTCAAATTCTCAAAAATGTTAGCTTTCTCTTCACCATACTAAATCCTCATTAAGAAAGTAGTAAAATATCTTAGTTATTAAATAATTTTTATTATTTTGCAAAGTACATATTACTAATTAAGTATAAAGATGTGCTAATGTGTACCAGCGAAGTTAATGGAAAATAATCACAATTTATATCAGGCTATTACATGATTTAAAAATCCTAAACATTAAAAATCCTCTTTAGTGTTGGATCTACAAGGTGATGAAGTCTGTTAATAAATACACTATGAATAAAACTAAAATTTCTTAATTCCCAATCAAATTTCTGGGAAAGCACTGAATAATCTTCAAAAACACAGAAGCCATTGTGAAAAATTTATTCTTTGAATATAATGCAACTTAAATGTTGTTTAAGTTCATGAGTTTGTATTTTAATATAACAAAGAGAAGTGAGCTGCTTATTAATACCTGATAAAAACCAACAATTCAGCTTGCTCTTGATTTTGTTATACAGTGTCAGTGCCAGGGGCCAGCAAATTGTTACCTCAAGGGAGATTTCTTAAGGAATAGCTTAATGATACTATTTCTTAAGTCTTATTTTCTAACTTCATATCTAAAATTTTTAAAGATAAAGGTCAAGACAAAAGCTGAACTCTAAGGGACAGATCAGATAAAATTGGGGAAAAATAAATAGATGGCCATGACTTTCTTTAAAATGACATTTACCTGATTGGGGAATTACTTCTATAGGAAAGTAAAAGGGTCCTATTAATATTTAGGTTATTTCTTAACATTTACTTTTATGAAAGAACTTAGATGTGGAAAATTGATTTCCTCATGTAAGAAGGATATGTCTAATTAAAATTTAACTAAAATTATATAGATACCTACTACAAACATACATTACTTTTTACATATATAGGCTTGAAATAACTTACAATGATATTCAGAAAAAAAAAAAAAAAAATCACACTGTTACTCAACTAGTATAGAGAAAACTTCAATTTTTTTTCCTCCAAAGATATTTTTCTCTCTGCCGGCGTATTATCTAACCCAGTGGTTCTCAAAGTATGCCCCCAAAGGGAGACCAGCATCATCACTGGCATCATCTAGAAACTTGTTAATGCAAATTCTCAGGCCCCCAATCCCCAGATTTACTAAATCAGAAACAACAGAGGTAAGGCCCAACAATCTGTGTATTAACCCTATAAGGTAATCCTGATGGAAACCAAAGTTTGAGAACCACTGACTTAACAACAATCAGTTTCAATTTTTCCATCTCTGGAAAAATAGTAAAGCTACGATAACAATGGTAATAACAAGAGCAACAAACTACGAGAACCACTCCCACACACTGAATACCTAATATGTGCCAAGCATTGTAGTCAGTATATATGTACATGTGTGTATAATCTCATTTAATCCTCATGATAACCTACAAGTAAATATAATCTTGAATTTCCAGATAAGGAAACAAGTATAGAAAGGTTACTTGCCCACAAGGTCAAAGCATAAATAGCACAGGTTTGGTTTTTGGTGTGTCTTATTTTTGTGCTTTTTGTTGGGCTCCTGTTTTCCTATTTTTTTCCAGTTTTATATGAAATCTTCTTGGGATGTAAATCTTCTGTAATAAGTATCTGCGAAGTATTTTATATTGTCTTCTGAAAACTTTTTACATTTTATCAATTTAGTAAAGCTGATTAAAACACCAACCCCCCCCCAAACTAACAACTATAAAAATTACCCAAAGAACTAATTGTCAAGATATGTTTTCCTTCTGTTTAAATAAAACAAGCAAAACTAACTGTAGTTTTTAATAACTGCTTAGTTATTTAAAACATTTAGCTGTTCATGTTTCCTGGAAAACCTGTTTATAAAAATAAGTATATGTGATGGTAAACTATTTAAATGAACAAAATAGGCTTATTCATATTTTCTTTAATATTAATAGCTTAAAATGTGAATTTACATGTAAATCTAATACACACATTTATTCAGACATACTCTAGAGATCTTCACATGAGATTAAAGAAATACATCTACATTCTTAAAGTATTAGCATCATAAACAATTTTATTATAGAACTTCTCATAACCTCTTATGATTATGGGTGGAAGTTTATCAAAACAATGAAAATCATGGAATATACAGTGATATAAAAGTAAAGAATTTACTAGGAACTGCAAAAACAAAAATATTAATTAGATGCAGTATATTCTAATAGGCTCTAGTAAAATACAATTAAACTCAATTAGCAAAGAAAAAAATCACATAAAAATAATTCCGGAAAATGGAGACAAATGGTCATAGTTTTCAGTATTGGCATTCATAGGTAAACAGTTCTACCGTGGCTGTACTACAGGAACAATTAAATGGCAGCTTACTAGCAAATTCTTCTTCTGATTTTTTATCTTCCTAATCTAAGGGCAAACAGTAGTCCAGATAAACATGGTACCAAGGAAATATCTTCAATTTTTCTTGTGGAAACACTGTTTCATGACACAAAATCATATTCCGTTCTCACTGTCCTGATGCAAATGTGCCGAAGGCATGATGAATGACTAGATTATACTTCGCCTTTCATATTAAGAGAAACAAAACCATGAAACATGAAATTAAAAAAGAAAAAAATTACTAAATCCCAAGAATCACTAGTAGAAAATACATTCAGGGAAATCCTGGAGTTGTAAAATCAGATAATGTGGGTTATAGATTCTCTAGTAGGTAGTCTAAATACACACACAAAGTACTGAACACAAATGTGAAATATACACTGGCACTAATGGAAATTCTGGACAGGAGACAGAAAGAATCCTACCTTTCCATAGGTTTTTATAAGGAAAAGTTGCAAAAACAACACAACCCAACTTTTTCCCACAGCCCATTCTCCTCAATATTCAGAATACTAGTCATAGGAATAGTCATGGTCCATGCTTGCACAATTTTCTTTCTTTAAATAGCTTGCAAATAAAAATTCACACTTTTATCTTGCAATTAATATAATGTAAAGTGTAAAATAAAATGCTTCTATCTCTTTATATACAGCTTTTAGGAAACTCTTATACTTGCTTAATTTAAGGTATCAATACTATAGGAATACATGACTGGGATTGCAAGAGGGTATCTTTATTTTACAATTCAGTAGACACAAAAATATTTCAAATGTTACCAAGGTTTGTGCAAAATTACAAAATCTCTTTACTAAGTTCCATCATTTTCCTAACTATTGGTGAAATGAACTGTTTCTGGAGACCTTCCTAGAGCTAAAATCAAGTCAAGGAGGTGGAAACAAAAGATTTAGCAAATCTGTGGTACATTATTGGAAGGGATGTATCGATACATATGAACAGATAAAAGGGAAGACTTTTCTTTAAAAAGTCTAGTTTTATACATTTACACATTTACAAAAGGAAAAAATATACCTTAGCTACTTTCCTCCAGTTAAGACAGTCAAAGAAGTAATATGTTCCCCTCTCGTATGTATTAGTTTTCATTGTTGGCTCCATGCCTGGTGCCCTGGTAATCCATACTCGTTCTTCTTTGTGGTATCTCCAATCACGGTTAAAGCTTCAATTTTTAAAAGAAGAAAGCAATTAAGTATTTTCTATGGCTCACATTAGATGTTTCCCATTTCTCAAAACTCTTCTCAGAATTATGCTATACATGAATATGGATGCTTCTTAATCCTGATTCTTATTAAATATAGACCTATTGAAATAGAAGAGGAAAATAATTTTCCCAGAAAATACAGTGTTTAATGTATATATACATCTTTATTTAACTGAACAAATCTTATACAAACAAAATGAGAACTTAAAAGCTCTAAGCAATAAAATAAAAACTGAAGTAGACCAAATAAAGATACACTGTGTTCCAGGAACTTCATTGCTTTCTTGTTCTTAACACTCAATAGAAATTGAAATATCTATTAAAACAAATAAAGATCCCAACTATTTGTATTATTTGGCAAGCAACTAAATACAAAGTCTACTTGAAATAACTACTTAGTATAATTTTATAACTATGTTGAAAATAGAATATCCATGATGAAAATTTTTAATGAATGTATTGCTTTTATTTTTTATTCTAGTCTCACTGATCCTAAAGAATCAATTAGGATGTGCACTACTTGTAAACTGGGGTTAACAACCAAATGATAGTTCCTAGAAGGTAAACGTGCCAAAAGAACAAACTCTGATTGAATAAATCTCCATGTAAATACCTTCCTATCACCACAGGAAGATTTGTAATAATTCCTCTGTTAAAAAAATGAGGGGAAAACAAATTCTCTTAATTAAGAAAATAAAAATAATTCATTATCAACCGTGAGTTTTACATTTTTAAGTATCTTATCCACGGTCACTTACAGAATACTGTAAAATACTAAATATGAGAAAAGGTCTCCCAATCATAAGGCCATAAATTTTTAGTAATAATTCACTATACAGTAAGCACAGTAACTATGTTACCAGTTGGACATATCAGAAATGTGACACAAAACTTTTATCCTTAGAGCATCAGGTGAAAACAGAAATACCAAGAAATGGACAAACTTCAGTATACTAACTTCCATTTATATTGGTTAATAGGCTGCTGACAATGAACGTGGATTTTATTTTATCAAACTTCAAAACACACAACAAATACCATTTATTTTTATGCAAATAATGCACACTTGTGTTTGTCTGCCAGCCACACCCTACCCCTTCAAGGCACCCTCATAAGCGCCCCCATGCCAATCCTCTTCATGTTGCTATAAAAAAAATTTAGCATAGCATGCTTACAAACACTGCGGGGGGGAAGCACAACCAACACACAAACACAGAAGGTGCACGTTATTTGTGTAAAAATACGGTATGCACAGTGCCTTGCCTAATGATACTCAATAAATGTTTACTAAATGATGAAATTCACTGTCATTAACTTATATTGTTAGACCAGAAGTAAGAACCACAGTCATGAACTATGATTTTATACTTCATGTATTTACAAAAATTAGGTTAACCAAACCATGAGTCAAGTTGATTTTGTCTTCTTAAAAATTTTAGGGTTAAATTTGAAATTCTTTTTCTGTACACCGTGATTATGAACCCATGGTAAAATACAATTTCAATCTAAATTATGTTCATTTTATTAAATGTAAAAATAAATTTCTCAATGAAGAAATATTTCCACTTTAAAAAAAAACTATAGCCATCTTCAATTTAAAAAAATAAATGCTTTCAGAATAATCAAGATCCTCTATAACAGAAAAGTGAACAAGATACTTTGAACATACAGCTCTACTGCAGCTAAAAGTTGTAATACGTCTCCTCCATTCATGTAATAAAGATAGAAGAGAAGATCTTCTCCATATCGACCAAGTTTTATTGCAGCCAGCTGGAAAAGAAAAATAGATTATTCTAAAATGTAAAATATTTGAAAATCCTAATGTTGCCATCACTTAAGTAAAAATGGAAAGATAGACACTCTTCTTTTTTGTAACAGGTAACTATTATTACATGATTATACAAATAAACAGTTATAATTCTAAAAGGAGTTTATTCATTTAAATGACTAAAGTCATTTAACAACTATTTCTGGTACATCTATTTGATGTACTAATAAGAACAAAAGCTAAATAAATCTTCCAAAGCAAGACCATATGTTGTCTGTCTTACTCCAAGATTTACTAATATCCAATGTGGAAATAATACTAGAACATTGTGCTTAGAGATCCAAGACTTACATTCAAGTCCTAGTTCCATTACTTACTGATATGACTATGTCCAACTTATTTAATGTCTATAAGCTTTAACTGTAAAAAGTGAACTATGGCACCTATGAGTTACTAACGGAGTAATGAAATAGAGTGAATGTAGATGAAAGCACCTTGTACAGTGTCAGATACGCAGACAACTTATACGGAATGTTGACTGAATCTATACCAACAGTAATTCACAAATCGTTAGGTTGTACGTTTCTAGCAAATTACAGATGGTAAGCACACAAATCATAAAGGGATGGTTTTTATTTTGTTTACATGGATGACTGAAAGATGACTGCTCTACATTTGTCTCTACAACATATGATGCAGAAATACAACTGCTTTCCAAACTATTAAATGTAGATGAGTTCAATACTTTCATATTCTCACATGAACTCCCCAAAACAAAAATAGTTTTCTCTCTTTACTGGATTCTATATCATAATGTTCATCTGGTTGTTACATATTCTTTGAATGTAATTTTTCTCTCTATCCATGGTATCCCCATTTAGGCAACAGAACCCAACTCAACAACTTCTCATTTGGTATTTCTCAAAGTGGCATGAGGAAAGGTTCTGGAACAGTTAGACAATAGGAGCAAAACAGCTGTATAATGCAGGTGGAAGCAAATTACACAATTAACAAATAGGAAAAACTAGCCCACTTCATCTCAAACTTCTTGCCTTCCATCCACTCAACTATTAAAAGACAGGAGAAATATTTCCTTTACTCCCCGGTCCACAACATCAACGTCCATTTAACTACACATCTGTATGGCACAGGCTCAAAACACTGTCATTTATATACATATATATTACACATATTTATAAACATATGAATAATATAAATTTTTCTTAAATTATATCCTATCAAAGGCTAAAATCTAGATATTATTATGCATTTCTTCCCCAAAAAGAAACGAATCCTCTTAGTTCTTTCCTAAAGCAAAAGTATTTACCATTTTCTTTCTTAGAAAAACAGATTAAGGCTGAAATCTGTTGTTCAAAAACCAACCTAGCTGCCGTCAAGCCGATTCGACTCACAGCAGCCCTATAGGACAGTGTAGAATTACCCCATAGGGTTTCCAAGGAACAGCTGGTGGATTTGAACTGCTGACCTTCTGGTTAGCAGCTATAGCTCTTTAACCACTGTGCCAGTAGTTACTTTATAACTGGAACTTTAGGTAATCAAAAATATGGAAAAGAAAAAAAAACACAAAAATCCAAAAGCTGAAGATCATAAATAGTTTTTAAATATATATATATATATATGGAGAGAGTTCCATTAAAAATACTGTATCTGTAATATCTTAAAGAATAACCTTTCTCATTCGTAAGAGCATAAAATGGGAATATCAGAAGGGAATTTATCAAACTTGACAAATTAGTTTATCCCCACTAACTGTGGTTATGGTTGTACCTTGTTATTAACTATAAGAAATATTTTACCAGTCCTAACATTGTTTATTTTTAAAGTATAACCGAGGACGTCATTAAAATAGTAATATCATTAACAAAAATAGAAATAAAATTGTTATATACAATTGAATGGACTTAAGAAAGCACACCCCTGAGACCATTACTAATTATTTAAAAAATATTATGCTGTCTGAACTGAAAAACAGCACCTAAAAAATAGATATATTCATGCTGACTGAGTAGAATAATAAACTACACTCACCTTATCCCTAATGTGAATGTTCGTTAAGTACTCAGATGGAACATGGAAGTCTGGATAATAAAATGAAAAAAGCCTTATTAACTGAATCTCAGTTATAAATATCTTTTTGAAGATTTGAACACAAACAGATTCTCCTACCTATGTCTTGAGGTCGACAAGGTGAAGATGCCCAGGGTGATGCAAATTTGGGATAGAGATTTCTGAATAAGGGGAAAAAAAAAATACTTTGAAGTCCAAAGTAGAAAAAAAAGATTTCTAATCTTATTTCAGGAAAATCAGGCAAAACAATCACTTCAAACGTAAAATGAATATCTTTACTTCTAATTCCCTTTCTTGTATTTACTACGACTTAATAACATCAGGAAACAGAAACAAAATTACATACACATACTGCTTCTCAGTATTCTTGCAATACAGTATAAATGACAGTATATCACAATATACAAAATGTAAGATTTAAAGATTTCTACTTTTGATTTACTTTAACTCAAAATGGTTTACATTCATTAACCATGCTTCTAAGTAAAAGAACCTTCTCATTTATGTGCCTAGAGAAAAATCTGTAATTATTAAAAGTTCAAATTCACCAAATATTTATTGAGCGTCAATTATACACCTGGCACCGGTCTAAGTGCTTGATATATATCAGTGAACAAAACAAGATCACTGACACCCTGGAGCTTATTAACAATGAACATAATAAATACACAAATAAATGAATTCCATGTTAGTGGAGGGATGGGAAAGGATATTGTTTGCATAATTAAGTAGGGTGATAAGGTTAGGTCTCATTGAGAAGGTGAGAGTTGAACAAAAGATTTGAAGAATGTTGAGTGTGATAATCCTATTTGTTATCTGGCAAAGAACATTCTAGTCAGAGAAACCTACTATAGCAACTAAGATAGGGTCATGACTGACAAGTCCTGAGGAACAGGAAGAAGGCCAATGAAATTAAAGCAGAGTGAACAAAAGGGGAAGCTGTTGAGGTGAGCGTAGGGGAGAGACAGATTATGTAAGATCTGCAGGCCACTATAAAGATTTTGGGTTTTTAATCAGAATGAAACTGCAAACCCTTACTGGGTTTTAAGCAGAGGAGTAACTTATTTGAAAAGGATAGCCCTGGCTGCTGTATGAAGAACGGACTGTATGGGAGGGCACAAAGGGAGAATCAGAGACACCTGGTGGTTGGCTAATGGCATAAATCTAGGCAAGAGATGGTGATATGAACCAGGGTGGTAGCATTTAAAAGAAGAAAGATGTGGTCAAATTCTGTATATATTCTGGAAAAAGATGGGATTATAGGGTATAAAAAAAAGAGAAGAGTTAAGGATAATGCCAAGCTTCTGGATAGACAGAATTACCATTAACTGAGATAGAGAAGGCTATAGACAGAGCAGGTCTGGGCAACATATGACTAGTTAGCAACTGGATCTAGAAATCTCAAGTTCAAGAAAGAAGTCTGCACTGAAAATATAAATATGTGATTCCTCAATATGTAGACTATATTTAAAGTCATGACACTGGAAAAAATCATCAACAAAGTGAGTATAGAGAAGAGTACTAACATAAAAGGTCAGGAAGAAAAGGAAAAGCAACCAGTTGAGATCAGAAGAAAACTGAGAAAGGTATCCTCAAAGTCAAGTGAAGAACGTGTATCAAGGAGGAAGCAATGATTCAACTACGCCAAATACTTCTTTTAGTCAAGGATGATGAGTTCTTAGAGGTGACCACTGAGTTTAATAATATGGAGGTTATTGGTTACTTTGATGAAAGCAATTTTAGTGGAGCGGTGGGAGCAAAATCCTGACTAAAATGGGTTTAATACAGAATGGGAAAAGACAAATTGGGCATACAGATATGACTCTTTTGAGTAGTTCTGCTTCAAAGAGGAATAAAGAAAATGGGGCAGTAACTGGCAGAAGGTGGGTCAAGAGAAGGTATTTTTTAAGATGGGAAAAGAACAGCCTGTTAACTGCTGATAGAAATGATGCAATAAAGTACAAAAAAATCGATGATATAGTTAACAGTGTATTCTTAGAACCATGACGTTGAGTTTCTGAAAGCTATAAACAAAGAGGTACGGATCAACTCTGGTAATAGAGTGGAAGATAAGAATAAGGTGGTTGTGAATGATAGTAGGTAGTTAGATTTGGTAGCAGGACTGTGCCATCATTCTCTTGTGATTTTTCTTAGTAAAGCAGAAATCATCTGAGAGTAAGGATGGGGGGAGAAAACAATGAACAGACTAGGCATACCAAGTATGATTACCTGGCAGAATTAAGGGCCCAGTGGAGGTTCCTAGCCATGAATTTGAAGTGCGATCAGACACTGAAATTTTATATTTTTCTCTAGCTAGGTTCAGTTGCATAGGTCAGGAACAGACTAGGCAGCGATTTATCCAGAGTTGTGGTTTTTGCCATGCAAGTACCACAGTGAGAAACAAACTGCGAGAGACGTAAAGGGGTCAAGGGTGTATATAAGGGGGGCAACTATGATTGACCACAGAATTTAACTGAGTAAAAAGGGAGTGAGTTCATTGTGGGGGGAAAAGGAGGAGGATGTTGGAAGAACTGTGAAAAGGTAGAAGAGTCAATGGACTAAAGGTTCCAACGGAGTCAAAGGATTACTGGAGTCACAGACTAGAGGGAAACAGATGGAAAAGGTGATAGTGAGAGAGCATGGGAAGCCAAGACCTAAAAATATGAAGAAATTGCAGTTACTGGTAATGACACAGTCAAAGGTGTGACTAAAGAAATGAGTGGCTAAGGTAGAGTGGAAGATAAGATTATTGGAGGAGAGAAATGCAAGAAGCTGGGAGTCAGGATTTTGGAAGTATCATGTACGTGTATATTTAAACTGCCAAATTATGACAGGAATAATACTGGAGTATGAGAGTAATCCAGGAGCGAAAAGGGATGACTTTAAGAGTCGGCAGATGACAGCAACAATGAATGGCAGTGATACATATAATCTGATGACATGAGATTAAAAACTGGAAATCTGCAGAGAAGAATTACATACAAACTGGGAAGAAAAGTAAAAACTTACTCAGGAGAGTTCAGATTGAGGCCTAATGTTGTTAAGTCACTTCCTAATGCAAGGTGTACCATTCCTGGGTCTGTCTCTGCTGCCCTGATAAATGTTAAGAGGCCAATCATTCCAAATTGGTCCGTCACCATCCCTTGAGGAATGTTAGTAACCCGGCCTGTGTAAGAAGAACATAGTCATTTTTATCTTTGCAGAAAAGTAAAGAAAATGCATTTTATAATATCTTTGACATATTTTTAGAGTCCCACCATCAGGTAACACCTGGATCCCTTTTTTCTGCTGGTTATTATTTTGTGTTGTTGAACTTTTATCTCCAGGGAATTTGGGTCCATCTGTACTTGAAGTTGTCTTGCCAGATGTATTCAAACTCTAATTAAAAAAAAAAAAAAAGTCACATTAAAATTTAAGTGTAAAAATTCGAGTTTATATATTAATACGTTGCTATTCATTGTTTATTCCATTTAAATTGGTAGTAAATTATTACCTGTTTTTCAAGCTCTACAAGATTTTTTTTGTTTGTTTCCACAATAGTTTCATGGTATACAAATAAATCCTGTATCATCCACATTTGAGTACTTAAAGGACAAGAAGTCTATGAAAAATATTCTTATTTATCTCAGATTTTCAGTCATAGGAAAGAAATACACACATACACACACACATATAATGTATATAGACATAAAGTTTAAATATATGCTATTTATGTGTATTTATGTGTGTGTGTATACATATATATACTTTGGAATATATTTGAAATTAAACTCTTCAATACTTTCATTTAGAAGTGAAACCTAAAATGTCATCATAACAACCTCCAAGACCAGTTAGAATATATGAACTTTCTTAATTTCTACTTAATTCTTACCCAACAATCTTCTTTATCAATCATTTTAATAATATACAAACTCCCATCAAAAAAATGTTTTTTGCTATTTTCAGTGAAATGTGGAAGAAATAAACAAATTTGTTAAGTCAGAAAGAGGAAGCTGAGTTGGCTGAATCAACACAGGAATAAAAATGTGTATAAAGATTCTTCAAGGAGAAAACTTACTCAAGAAAAATACAGCTCCTTAGAAGGCTATTAATATCAAACTTCATGGGATCCAGCTGACAGGGACTACAATAAAAGTCTAAATTAACTCTGAGAAGTTCAACAGAAATTTGCAAACCTATATGAAATAGGAAAAAAACAGGCTATCTTCTAAGTTATAAAGGTTTTCCACATTCTTCAGAAGTTAGATTATTACAGATTTTCAAGGATAAGCAGTTTTGTAATAGTATTTAGTAACTCTTTTAATTGTCTACAAAACTGTTAATGAAATCTGAGGAGAAAAATCTACACCACTCACATATACAACTGTCATTTACTTACAGATTTACTGTCATCATTACTTGACGTTGGATCTTTATAGCTGGAACCAGGTAATGCTGGAAAATCTTCGTTGTGTATTGAGAAATCCTGGGATTGCTCATTTGCTGGCTTTGTTACCATTCCAACTATGTAATGAAAACAACCCAAAGAATTGCAATTGATATGTATGATATTTTTGCTACGGCTTATAAAAACTTAACTTTCCTTATGATGATACATAAAAATTATTTTTTTAATGCTATAAAAATGCACTTCAAAAAACTAGTTTTCAGGATGATGATGAACTAAATTTTTATATACTGATTAATAATTCAACATGCAGAATAATACAAGGGAAATAAGTGGTAATCCTGTAATTCTAATGTCATATATATATATGCTTAATGATTTGATACTGGCAATTATTAAAAAATTTGGCTTAAAGGCTTGCATTATGTAAATACTTGACTAGGTATTATAAACACCAGTAACCACCAAATACAAACGAACACAATAAATTTAAAAAGAACATGTCAGTATTCTACTTGAAAGTGACTTACAGAAATAAGCAAATTATAATCATTTATAAAACAACACCATATTATTTCAGATTTTCTGGACTCCATGTTATAGATGTAAAACATGCCAAGAAATGGGAAGTAATTCTCTCACTATACTTGGCATTAGTCAGGCCCTTACTGGAGAACAAATCCAGTTTGAGTTTTCAGAACTCAAGACCGATATAGAGAAACTAGAGATGGTCCAAGGAGAGCAACGGGAATGACTAAAGGGATGAAAAAACGGACCTATGAGGAAAGGTTAAAAACATCAGAGTCTGAACGATGAATCAAGTAGCCAGGCACGCAACTTCCGGGGCAGATCATTTTTGTCATTTTTAGAGGACTGACTGGAAACCTTAGAATATGAACAATAAAAATTTTCCTTCTTCACATATTGTTTGTTATTTGCATTCATATTCTGAAAGGCATAAAAATCTTTCTTGGTTAAAAATGAAAAAAAAAATTTTTTTAATTCTATCTTGGAATAATTAATGAAACCAAACCAAACACACTGCCACTGAGTTGATTCTGACTCATAACAACCCTATCCCTCTAAGTTCATTCTGGTCTCTATCAGATTTTCCTGAAAGAAACAACTAGATGCAAAGGATAAAAAGAAAAAGAGTATGTTTACATGGCTGTTACACTGTTTTCCTATCTGAATTGTTATTGCATAGGTTCCTCTCTCCCACTTTCTTTTCATCTAGCTCTTACTACCCAAATTTCTTATCTATTAAAGACAGTGAACAAGGGTGATGGAGGACATTAATGGTGACCAAGTGTCTACATAAGCTGTATATGACCCACGAGCAGGGGTGAGGAGCTAAGAGATAGTAGTAATTTTTTCCCCCAGGGGACCTTTGCCAGTGTCTGCAGACATCTGTGGTTGGCAGTGCTACTGGCATCTAGGGGGCAGAGACCAGGAATGGCGCTAAACATTCTACCATGCACAGTACAGCACTCCCATAACAAAGAATTATCCGATCCAAAATAGCAGTAGTACAGGGTTGAGGAACTCTGGCTTAGAGAAACATCTTCAATGTGTGGTCAGTAATATGAATCACTAAGGATGTGTTCTTTTGGAAAATATGAGATGAATTAAGAGGCGAAAAGGCAGGCTACAAAATAATCTCTTAAGGTCTTGTATTAGGGCAGAGATGCCAAAAGAAAATAACTTTTGAATACCAATGAGGACTTCCTTTTCGATTTCTGTAAAAACTAAGTTTCCCCCATTTAACCTAGTTTTTATGGTATTCTGGGAGAAAAAAGCACTTTGCACAAATCAACTCTGTCAAAATTATACTAACCTTAATCGAAAACACATACATCTAAATGTGTACATACATATGCATATGCACAAACACATAGATATATATATGAATGTGTGTGTTCATTGGGAAGTTTCTATTGTACATTTAAAAGTGTAATTACCATAAGGAGCTCTTCCAGCCAAGGGATTTATTAATGGAGTTGGGTTACCACTTCCTTCCCTTCTGTTTCGGTCTGCTAATGCTGGAAAATCTGAAAGGTCCAATCCTGTCACATTTTCACTTCCATCTATACAATAAGAAAGAACACTAGTTATTGATTTAACAAACATTTTAGAAGAGATTATAAAGACCAACCATAAAATAATTTGAAATGATAGTGCCTTCTTCCTAAATAATGCACAACATTGGACTAGGTATACAGTACGTGCTCAATAAATACTTGTGGACTGATTTTATGTGGAAACATTTCACATGAGCAAAGCAATATGCAGCCAGTGTAATAAAAATCCAAAATCCTAGAGACTTTAGAGAATGAGGGGTAAGGTGGTACACAATGGTAATCTAAAATTCTAGCTTGTTAGCTAACAAGATTACTGTGATTTAACTGCTCTTTTCATTGTATCCAGGTGGAGGTTATATCTGGAATGCTTCAAGCTTCAGTTACACACAAGAATGACAAGGACAGTGCCATGTGCAAATGGGCAGAAAGGGACCTGAGGCACAGGCAGTGGCCATGCAACCTACTGGTCCTATAGACAAAACGTGTGTGTATGTGTATACGTTTACGTGTTTTGAGGGTAGAGGTAAAAGCAGGAATGGCATATGGATCCCATGTGCTGGTGAATAGGTGAGAAATATGGGAAGATGATGCAAAGCCCAGAAATATATATTACCTATTACACAGTAGGCGCTCAATAAATATATACTGAATGAATGAATTTTGTCTGTTTTAAATAAAAAAGAGCTTACTTCTTTTTATAAATTAAAATTTAACCTATCTTCTCTAGTTTACCTGTTTTAATCACCTTGATTCTTCTCAATTTTTATTTTCTTATTCTTACAACCTTGTATTTTTAATTTTTAAAGCACTTAATTTTCTATCTCAGTCAGTTTCAGCTTGTACTACGGCTTTTCTTTAATCTTTTGTTTCATCTTGCGTTTTATAACCATTTTCAATTTATTTTGCCCTTTTCCAGTTAGTTTTTATTTTTCTTCAAATTTCATAATTGGAAGAATCTCAGAAAGCACTTATCATCTCAAGACTACCAATAAGATTACTGACAGAAAAACCACAGACTATAGTAACAGTCCAAAACAGGTGACAATATAAAATTACGGAGGGTAAAAGATAAAATCATTCATACCCACTGTTTAAAAAAATTGAGGTTTACAGGTTTTGAATTTTTAAAAGATATAACAATAGAAAATAATTTATATATAGCATTTCAATTTACAAAGTAATCTCTCGAATTATTTGATTACAGAATTATAAACTTTGAATATATATCTTAACTTTTAATATACATCTGTGGCTCCTCCAGGATGGAATTTTAAATTGCCATATATTATCTGAGACTATATTTTAATCTGAAAAACAGTTAATGAACCCCTAAATTTTTTAGAGAAAGATTTGCAAACAATTTCCCTAGTAAGACATATTTAGTTAAAATGAATTTTAAAATTAATTCTAAAATTTTACAGCACTGTATAAAACCATAATTCAGAATGTAAAATGACAGTGTCAGACACACTGTTAATTTATGTCCCATTTAGGAAAAAAAAGTGCCAATTAAACTATGATATGCAACCTGATTTCAGAGACATTAAGGTATGAAAAAAATGTACATATTAGAAACAATGAAATACAGAACTTCGTGTAATTTTAACATCTTGAACACAAAACTATAATTTAAAAATCCTAAAATTTGGAATTTTTTCAAAGTTTTTAATCTCATTTTTATTAATCTATGGTGCTAAATGTACACCAACATTTAAAAATTAAAAGCCTAGAGCCACAAATAACGTTTTCCTCACTAAATCTTCTCTCGTGCTTCTGAATATGCTCCATTTCACTGATCATTCTTTCACATTCCATTTCCTTTAAATATATTTCTCTCTCAACGATTCTATCCATTTTTGCTCCTATGATCATAACAACATCCTTTATTTCCTCCTCAGGAATGGGTCTGGAGGCAGGGTAGAGGGGATGAAAACAAACAGAATAGCAACAAAGCTTCCTGTTCTCTTCTGTCTAAAGCAGTTAATAAAACAAATAAACAGACTGCATGAATACTTTCAGAATCAGAACTGGTTTTCCATATAACTAAATTTTAAAGTGTACATAAAAATGGATTAAAAATTCCTACAAAGTTAAATGCCAAAATTATTATCATCAAAATTACTAAGAAAAAAGTATTCAGCGCTCCATATAATTTTAAAGGTTTTCCTCAATCTGGGTCTTTATAACCAAAATGTCATACCAACCACCTAGCCTAAACTGTGGTTCTTTATTACAGTAAAAAGGCTGAGGATAGGAAAAGCTCTTGAAGCCAAAAAAAAAAAAAAAAGGGTCCTGAGGTATAAATATACATATGTTAATGTTTAGGCTCCCATTCAGGTGTTAAGGAAATAATCCTGATATTGTAACACGAATCACTATGCTGTTACCATGCCAAATGAAAAAATTATATCTCAATAGAAATATCTCGTGTTCACTAAATTAAATCCTATTCCTATCAATGTTTCACTAAATTAAATCCTACCATTTAACACAATAAAAATTTCTACATATGAGGACCAGTATGTTGAATTGCTTTATATTTCAAAACTCTACCATATGTTTTTTATAGGGTACTAGCTCCAGAGTAAGCTTACCTGTTCCATTAAAAATGTTACTTGATAAGGAGTTATTCATTCCAAATGCCTGATTCCTGTTCATTCCAAATCCAGACATACTGGGTACATAGAAAATAATTTTAGATATACGGTAAGAACACTAACTTTCAGATGAAGAAAAACAAAAGTGTATACTTTTGATCTCCTCATACAAAACAATATGGTTAAAAACCAATACTAATTTTATTTGCCTGAGTTTAATCCTAGTTTTTATCTTAAAAAATTTCCCTAAAGTCCTTCTATGAACAGGGAACCAAATGTCTTCAACAGATTAATTAAAAAACAAAAAACAAACAATTTACATATGAACCTTGATGAAAACAGAGATTAAATATTACCACCATTACGTGCACTCGGGGAGCCATTACTGGTTATCCTGGAAGAATTAACCTCAAAACTATGCAGGCTAGTGAAAGGCTATTCTTCCCGAATATTTCCCTAATGGTGAAGACTGCTATGGTTACTTTTCCTAACAGCTATTCTCTCATACACTGTCTGTCTTTCCCAAGTAGACTATAAACTCCTCACGGACAGAGTCAATGTCATATTCAATTTTGCATCCTCTGGTCTTAGCTCAGGAGGATAAAATAGGCACTCAACAAATGTTTAGTTGAAGTGAATTAAACAGTGCTTTTGTTTAAATGAATTCAGTGTTTTAAAATATATCGTTCTTACCTAAATATAGTTTACCTTTCAGCTACTTAAAAGGTAAAAAACAAACAAAAAAACCCTGCCCTTAGTGCCCCCAATTCTGAATTAATGCACAACTGATACTTGGTAAATAGTTACAAATGCTCCCTTTTTTTGCATGAGCCTGAGCATAGAAAGAAAAAAACAAAAGAACTTAATTAAAGAAAGGTCAGAAGTGATTAAGACTGTCAATAAAAAAGAATAAATTGTATACTGAAACTTTGCATACTTAATATCAAACATAAAAAAGTTAATAGCATGTCAGTGCTAGGAGTACGGTTAAACTGTTTGAAGGTAATGGTTTTTTAGTCTTTTGTTTTTTGCCTAAGTCTGTAAAACTAAGGACAATCAATATTTTAATAAAATTTGCAGATGGTAAAACAACATCTACAGAAGAGTAAGAAAGCCAATGGAAATTTTTGTTTAGTAGCACGTTAGAGTCACTGATGATACAGGTACCTGCAAACATTGAGTAAGTGCTTAGAGATGAAAATGTTTTTAATAAAAACCACATATTAATAGTAGAAATAAGCAGTATTTTAGAGACCCACATTGCAACAACTTTTTACAAGCAATGTATTTTTTAAAAAACTAAATGTGAAAAAATATGGAAAGGCAAAAATTTAATTATACATTCAATGAACAATACTACAAGAATGCAGAAAGATGTGACAAAGCCTAAGAAGTATTATATGGTTACGAAGCTATGAAGAAGATGAGAATTTTGATAACCTTTACAAATAACAGGTTTTTTTTTTAAAGAAAATTAGAAGGGTAGTAAAATTATAGAAGAAACGATAGTAAGTCTAAATAAAAGTAAGAACTGGAGACTAAATAGAAAATGTGCTAATAACCTATTTTAACTCAGGTTTTTACAAATACTATATATAAAAGAAAATGAAATCAAATGGGTATGATGATAAAAACTAGATTAAGGTCCTTTAATTTCCCTACAGTTCCCCATTAAAAGAAAAAAAAAATAAAGTCAATCAAGCTTAAATGCCATTTTTTCAAAGAGAGCCTTATGTTGTAGACGTAACTCCCATATAAATTACCCAACCAGCTTGAAAATCATAAAATGGATAGTTTCATATTATTATTTGCATAGCATATGCAATTGACAGTGCAAAAAGAAAAAAAGCACAACAGCCTATCTTTTTGTTTTGAATTCCAGACATGACACTATTTTCAAACAGTGTATAGTCTTAAAAAAAAACTGTGGTCAATCTCAGTTGAGTAAGTATTTAACCAAAGCAAAACTGAAGCAAGGTAGTAATAGTCAAACATGTCTCCAGTCCTACTCATAAGCCTGAAACTCTCATTATACAGGTGGGCAACCTCAATTAATTGAGGAGGTACCTACCAACAAAAATTTGCCTGGTGACAACCCAAGAACAATCCTTTTCTAACCAACAATAATCATGTTTAATGCACTTTCTAAAATCAAACTGATTTTCAAAAGAATCTATCTTCAGTTTGGGGAGATTAAAGTGGTGATGTGTAACAGAAAGAGAACCTTTGATCATAAATATATGATGAAGCACACTTATGAGACAGAAGCCAAGACTCAAGAACAGAGGGGTGGATAAAGAAAAGGCAAATCTGAGGACACCCAGAAAAACAATTATACACAGTATCAATAAACATCTTACCTGTTCACAGTAAAAGGCTGTCGAGAAGGCTGCTGCTTTGGCATACATATTATGCTTGGCGAGCTTCTGCTGGGGCTACCTAACCCTGAACTGCTCATGCTATTTGTCCTGCTAGGAATTCCAATGCCCTGACCAACCTGGGAGTGGTTCATCATATTCCTAGGATTCATAGGCAAAATACCCCTGAAAAAGAAGTCCATTACACTAAATAAGCTCTCTACAATTACTCATTAAAATTTTCTATAAAATCAATTGGTCCAACCCTAGACTCTCAAATTATTTTCAAATTACATTACTAATTCTTAAGTTAATTCTTTTGTCTGATCATTGTAGCTCTTTGAAAAGAAAAATCAAAGTAAACACACAAAAAGGCAAATTACAGTGGAACTAATATAAGGTGGTATCTAAGATGACAGCTACTGGTTTGACTCTGACATAAAATACAAATATATTTCACATATATATTTACAAAACTGACAGTCCAAATACATCATTCTATCTTCTTCATACTATTATGCATATCTGCGTCATCTGTTCTGTTTTATTCTCACTAGAGCAACGGACATGTGACAAAGGAGTAGTAATTAAAATTCTCTGGGGAACAATTTTAAATTGCACATCCTGCTTTGAGGAAGAGAGTTGGCTTTTGAAAAGCTCCCCAGGGGGTGCTTAACCCCTGACGCCCACCCAAGTTGACAACCACTGTGCTAGCTACAGGATAAATACATCTTGCACTATGCTTATCAATTTGCAATGAAATAAAATAAGCACAGGGCATCAACTTTCTCTTCCTCAGTGAAAGGCACTGAACCAGAAAATCAAATAATTATCTTATTAGAAGTCTAAAGCTTGCTTACTCTACAAAGATACATTTTGAGAAATATTCTGGTCCATCAATAAATACCTGCTTGGAGATGGAGGCGTGTGAAGTGACATTGTTGGTACCCCTGTTGTTGGCGTGACGTGGCTCGGTAACTGAGTGCCTTGTGATAAGCTGCGATTTAACTGAGGGGTATTGTTGCTCATCCCCCTCATTGGAAGGCCTAGTGCACCTAATAAAAAAATTCAGAAGAAGGAAATTCATTGCCATCAGGAATGAAATTGTGTCATCCATCTTCTGGAGTTGGCAATGTAAAACATTTTTAAATGACCTAACATGTAATATGCAAATCTTAAATGGATATATTCTATTCACTTCAAATGGACTCTGATTTACAACAAAAATATGTTCTAGTCTGAAATTTAATATTATGAATATTTCTTTCATGTTTCTATTTTTTCATTTTTATTTTACAATAAAGTATGTCTGTCAATGACTGTAACAAATTAGATAACTTATGTTGTAATAAAAACATTATGTACAAATAGGCCGTTAAGAAATTTTGCAATCTCGTGTGATTTTAATTTACAACCGATGTACAAAGAAAGACTTAACTCCGCTTTGCTGAAGTAGCTTTAATTTTTATAAGATCCTTTTTATATGCATTTAAGAAGTCTTCTTCCTGTTATTTACACAGTCCTCAACATTACAATTTTTACAAATCCAACATAAAATGTAAGCAACTATTAAAACCGCAACCTGATATATCTATAAGAGATAAAACATTTAAAAAAATTAATGTATAACGATTCTATATTAATCTAATACTTCTGGGTGATGGACATGTTTCAAAAGATATATTTTTAAAGACTACTAAGATTTACCACTCAGACACAAAACAAAAAATATTAACCAAGCTGGATAAACTTATTTAAAAAATGTGTTACAATATTTCTTGCCTTTTGTTCAGATGATATGAAAGATAAATTATTATTGTCTCAATAACCCAGAAAATTATTATGGATATCTAATTTTCTAGATGTTTGTTTTTATCCTTCAATTAAGGATGTTCAGCTGTCATTTCTGCTGCCATCATATCTGCCTATGAATGCCTGCCCCTTTCCTCATTTTCCTGACCCACACCTTTTAATGCTTTCCTTCTCTAATATGCTGTGGAATAACACATCAGTCAACCTAGTTTATTCTGAAATGGAGGTTAAGCAAAAGTGATAAAATAGAGTGAGCACTAAATGAGTAAGTAGATGACTTAAAAACTAATTGCAACTCATGGCGACTCCACGTGTGTCAGAGTAGAACTGTGCTCCATAGGGTTTTCAATGGCTGATTTTTCAGAAGTAGATCACCAAACCTTTTTTCCAAAGTGCCTCTGGGTGGACTTGAACTGCCAACCTTTACGGAGAAGTGGAGCACTTAATCATTTGCACGCTTAGGGACTTGAGATGACTTTGGTGTTAGAAGTCACAGTGACTTTTTTTCTTTTCAGCCTAATTTTAGGTCCAAGAAGTCAAAAGACCTGAAAATTTTGAAACCCTGACCTCCAAATAAATGCTGCACTATATATGCCATAAATGTCTTGGTATAAAAATGTACCTACCACTTTCTAACATAGGGATATCAGGGGATCACAAAGATTTCACTGACAGGTACAATAAAACCTGCAAAAGCTGGAACCTGTACGAGGTGGAAACTTGTCAGAAGAAAAACTCATACTTTCCACTAATAGAGAGTGACAGAAAAGTCATAAGACTATACCCTGTCAAAGGCAGAAAATTCGCGAGACCCAGAAAAACAAGGCAGTCCTGTTGAGCTCTGGCTCTCATAGGTTTCACTGTACCTGGAATTTGGCGACTTTAGAACTCAGTTTGTAACCTAACCTTTCTTCTCAACTGAGTGAAGGCAATGAATACAAGTCAATACAGCTACTACATTCTATGAGCATTCTTTTCACTCATGTTCATTGAAGACCCAAGCTTGCTTCTGCATTTCTTTAAGTCATTTGAAGGGAGTGGCCTAGATTAAACATTAGTTCAGTCACTGTATGTCTAGTCACTACACATTTTGTGACCACAAGAATGCCATTACCTACAGCCACGTTCTGAATCTGGGATTAAATAAGGAAGAACAAGAGACTGAAATCAGCCTATGTAAGATTTCTTCAGAAGAAATAAGTCTTTCCTTAGTTCAAGCATGTTGGTTTTCCCCTAGGCCCTTGAGTTGCTTCCATAAGATACCACCAATGTGATACCTTTCACTTCACTCGCTCAAACATTTATTGAGTGCCTACTATGTGCTAATTACTACGAGCAAGACAAAAAGGCTTCTATCCTCATAGAGCTTATACCCTACTCCCCAAAGATGCTGTCCTAAAGTTAGCTATAGCTGCAAATTTCCCACAGGAATGTGTTTCTCACAGTCACTGACCACCAAGAAAAATAACACAATTTTAGAGCCAGAATGGATCTTAAAGATCACTTAGTCCAATGTTCACAATTTACAGATGCCTCAGATAAGCTAACTGACTTCTCCAGGAACCAGGACTAGAATTTAGATCTCTTAACTCCTAGTGTTCTTAAAGACAGCATTATGGGAGCCCAATAAAACACTCAAATAGCATCCTTTAAGTGCCCAACAAATTGCAACATGTCTTATCTATTTTCTTCAGCTTTTTCTCTTTTGCATACTTTCCTTCTCTTCAAAACTTTTCTAAATTGTCAATTCTTGTTCTCTTCCCTCCCTCCATTTTCTTTCTCTCTTTCTTCTCCATACCTGTCAGTTTTCTTTCCTCTAGTTTTACTTTTTCCTTTCCATTTTTACCCTCTCTATACCTTCATCACTATAAACAAACACATACTTTCCAAAAATCGAGTACCCTTTGGCACTTTTCTAATAATCTACAAGCCCTACAAAAGACTCATCAAGATTTGTCCACTTCAATCCTCCATACATATTATTCTATGTTGTATCATGAAAATGAACAATTTCACAAATATTTTAGAGACTGGAGATAATCTGAACATTAGCAAAAAAACTTTTGAAAAGGAAATAAAAATGGATAAGACTATTTGTATTTACTCAGTTAGGGACTGGCAGCTTGAGTTAATTCATAGTGCTAAGGCTAAAGAAGACAGTGTGGAATAAAGAAAATTGAAGATTATTGTTTACTTTTATTTTAACCTTCAAAATTCATTCAACTTCTTGATTTTAAAAAGAAAAAAAAAAGAGCTAATAAAATCCAAAAGGTGTGTTGAACTAGCTGTGAGAAGATCAAAAAGGAGTATATTATTTTAAACTGGATCATCAACCCTTGAATACTTCTAATCTATTTTCAATTTAATTTTAAAACTTGAATTTTTTAAAAACAGAATAGCACTAAGCCAAGAACACACAAGGATTTATTTTTAGAAAATAAAATATACCAATTCATAAAATTTGAGTTCCTTGAGTCATGCTACCACAAGTGGGTGGGAAAAGGGGAGGGAAAATTTAATCTTTTACTAGTATAAATAGAAACAATCAGAAAATTACTTCCAAAATATTGTGTCAAGAAGACGTGCAAGCTGAAAAAAAAGGAAAAAAAAAAGGTCACAGAGATTTCTGGCATCAAAGGACTAAAACGTAGTAAAAGAATGTTAATATGTACACATGAGCTTGTGTATGGCTAGGTGACTTGACTGGGAGAGAAGTAGAATTACACTGCTTCATCTAAGTTCCTCCTTACAGCAATCCTATAGAGAGGGTATTTATCCTCTTTACACAGAAAAGGAGTAAAGGAATGAAAGGAAAAACAAAAACGACACATACACTTTAAGAGATTATAATTTTAAATCAAATTTTTCTTTCAATTTGACAAAGTGATAATAGAGAAAAATACAGTATTAGGAAGAATATCTGAATATATTCTAAATAGATTCGTATCTCTTATTTGGCAGGGTGGTAAACACTCAAAGAATGAATTAGATTCTCTATTGATAATTTTTCAGAAATCCAAAAGAATATGATCTAAGAAACGATTCCATGAATTATTTTCACTATACAAACTGATTAACAGCATATCTTTAAATACTTATGGCAAGATGTGCCATTCTTTATTCAACTTTTTGTTAGAGATAAACAATATTAATAATCCAAGTTATAAGAAATAAATTCAATCATAGCAACCAAATCCCTGAATACTCATATTTAAATGAAATTCCTTGGAATCTTTATTAAGGAGAAGAAAAAAAAAATCTGTAATTGATGCAAGAGGGCTACAAGTGTTTGCTTTTCCATTCCTAAAGCAACTAGATCCCTCTAGGAACTAACTAACTGTCCTCTCCACGCTAATGACGGACAACAGTCCTAAACGGTGCTTTACTCTACATCTCTTTAAATCTGTCCTACACTTAGCTGATTAACCTTCCCTGAGAAATTATTTTATCATGCAGTTTACTTCACTAAAATCAAAAGATTATAGAAAGACTCCAGATCATCCCAACAAAGTTACAGATGAAGAACTAAAGCTAGATATTAAATGACTTGCTCAAGGTCAGAGGTAATGAAGAATAAAGATAATGATCCAATTTCTTGTCTCCTATTTCAATGCCCTTTTTTAACCAATCACTTTCCATTTCTTACAGTTGTAATTTTTACACCATCTGGGGAACTTCATGTTTAGGTCCCATCCCCAGAAATTTGGATTTAGTTAGTCTGGGTCTGGGCAATTGGTGTGCAGTCAAATTTTAAAAGCCTTGTAGGTGTTTCTACAGGTTCAATCAGGGTTGAGAACCACTGTTCTATAGTATCAAAAACCAAACACAGTTTAGTCTTAAAATTCTCTGTCAGGGCCCAAAAGATATCTGTAATCTCAACATTTTATCCACTCCAGCAGAAATCCTGTTACGCACTACCTGTATGTCTTACAATCTTCTTTCCCCATTTCAACCCCTAAGTCTGCCCCGGTACCTTTACTTATTATCATTATTCCCACCTAGAATATTTTCCCTCCTCTTGCTCTACAGAGATACAAAAGACTGTTAAAAAAAAAAAAAAAAAA